CATTCTGCTTGAAATTCTCCTAAAAATACCCTCTTAATGACCCTCCAATTTCAATTAAAATCTGACGTTTTTTAACTCCGTTTTTCCGCCTTTTAAACTGCACTTTGAAGCCTCGCTGAGGTCCGGGCCTGAAAACAAATAAACCCTCCTCTGTGCTCTAAATCTGACCCTAAACCCGGGCCTAAACCTGACCCTCAATTCCATTCTAAACCCCCACTCTGAACTCTCTTCTAAACCCTTTTTTTTTGGTTTTTCTTGCAAAGAGGACCCACCCACCCTCCCCCCTCTCTCCTCCCAATTTATACCCCACCGGCTGTCCGTAACCCTCCCCGGCTGTCCCGTGCCCTCCTCCTCCCCTGTCCCCTGTCCCTTCTCTATCTTTATTCCCTCACCCCGCCCTCCACCTCCTTGATTCTTCCTCTCTTTGCACTGCTTCTCCTCATTTTATTCTATCCTCTTTGCTCCCATGTTTTCTCCCTCTGTTGCTGCTTTTTTGTCCACCACTTTTCCCCCTCCCTTTGACGCCACTTGCTATCAATTCCCTCTCACCTATTTTTATCTATGCAAGAAACCCTTTATTTTTCTCCCTCCTCCTTCTTCTAAATCTAACCTCTACTCCTGCTTTCTCTTTCTTGTTGTCCTTGTTTTTTATCTACCACCTTCTCTCCTTTCGACTTCACTTGCTATCAATTCTCTCCACCTATTTTTATCTGAATAAATTTATATAAAAAGGCCATCTTTTTTCTCCCCCTTCCTCCTTTCAATCTAGCATCTTCATGTGTGCTCTCTCTTGTGGCATTGCTGTTTTTTATTCACTACCCTCTCCCCTCGACCCCAACTCTGATTTGTTTCCTCCACCTACTTTTGTCTAAATAAATTTATATAAAAAGGCCATCCTTTTTCTCCCCCTTCCTCCTTTCAATCTATCCTCTTCTTTTGCACTTTTTCCTGTTGCACTGTTGTTTTTTATTCACCACCCTCTCTCCCCCCTCGACTTTGGCTCTACTCAACTCCCTCCCCATTCAGCGTGTTTTACAAGAAAAAAACGACTTTTCCTGACTCTCCTCTCTTCCTAGATTCAGTGGGTGTCTTTTCTTTTTTTCATGTATTTTTCATATTTTCCATTTTATTATTTTCTCTATGTTTAATTGTATTAAACTCTTTAATCTACTCTAATAAAAAAAAATAATTTCCCCTCTCTCTTTCCCCATCACTTTTCCCCGCTATTCTTATCCACATTCACTCCTTTACATTCTATTCTTTCTATTTCTTACTCAATTATCCTTGATGATTCATTTATTTACATCTATCTATCTTATATCTATTTTCACTGAATTCACAAAAACACCTTCACTACGCCTCACCTTCACTCTAAACACTCTTTCTACTCCTCTAAACGCTTCTCTCTTGTTTTTTTCTTTTTTTTTATCCACTCACTTCTCCCCCTCCCAGCTTATCATCTACTTTCACTCTTTCAAAAAAATTCATCTTCCCCCACCTTAAACCATTCGTTTCGTCTTTGATGGCCCTCCCCTTCTCGCCTCCCTCCACTTCTCTCCCTTTCATTCATTTTTTCTTAATGGCACCCGAGCTCAATCTCTACAGCTCATCTTGATCCCTGAAACATTTCTTCACTCTAATTTTGATTTTATTACATAGCAATGCTTAAATACACTATGGAAATCTTTCTAAACACTAATTTCTATCAATTCTTATATCAATTCTTATATCAATTCTTATATCTACGCCTCTCTCAACGCCTCTATCAACGCTTGCAAACACCAACACCATTCATCAACCCCCAACTCCCACCCATCGTTCTATCCCATCATCTCTCCATCAGTACGGTGCACCTCAATTTCATGCGGGGCAAATCCGGGGTAGGCGCTGAATGCACTGATAACGACATGGCACAACAAACAGCGGCCACTCATCCGGGCAATACATGCTATTTGCACAGGGAACACGCTACTTTATGTGTAATGCACTTTCAATTGATGCTGAAGAGATCATACTCTACTCTTTCCTCTCCTACCCTGCCTTCTTATCTAGTAAATATACATGCTGCTCTTATATCCCATTCCCATTTTACATTTAAATCATGAATGAAATCATCATTGCTAGTAACACCCCCCTCATCACACTCCACCCACTCATCCTCAACCCTTCACTCGGCTTCACCTCACCCGCTTCATCTTCCTCTCCTGTCGTACACTTCGTAGGCTTACACCGCCTTGTCGAGGTGAGTGTTATTCTTGACGTGACCGTGGACGTAGTCGTGGACGTGCTAGTGTGCGTTGACGTCTTTGTGACCCACGTGTCTGTCGTTTGCAAAGACTGACAGTCTGTTGCCTTTCCTTCTCCCTCTGTCTTTGTTGTTGTTGTAGTGGTTGTGGTGGTGGTCGTTGTTGTCGTTGTTTCTACTTCGTATGGTTTCACTTCTAATGACTTCAATTTGTTGCATGCCTTCTCAATGTCACTGCATGCATCTTTCAATGTCGAACATTCTTCTTTAAACCCACATTCTAATTTCAAAACTTTACATTCTTCATTGACTTCCACATACGCCTCCAATGCTCTTGATACTGCATCGAAGGCTTCAACTTCTGCCTCTGTGACAAGTACTTCGACTGTTCCTCTCCGAACAAGTCTGACTTGTGTCTTTTGAGTTGTATTTGTTCCTCCTACTGATTTATTTTGATCACTATTTGCATTTTTCCCTGAATTCACTTCATTTTTCTTTAATGATGATAGAACAAGTTTTGCACTTTCTGATGCTTTTTTTGCTTCTTCATTCAATTTTTTGACTTCTTCTACTTTTGTCTTTATCCCTTCTTTCTCTGTATTTAATTTTGTAGACAATTCTGCACATCTTGCTTTTACTCGTTCTACCAGTTTTTTACATAAATTGTCCCTAATCGTATCATTATTAGCACCATTAGTACTATTACATAGACTCTCCAATGTTTTATTTTTTGTCTTACTCCACTGTGTACAATATTGATCAAGAATTATTCTACACTTCTTTTCTTCTTTAAGATTCCCTCTAAATTCGTACATAATTTGTGTTTCCAGGTTATATCTTTCTCTGTAAGTCTCACAATTCTTTTTAAGTTTTTCACACTCTCCATTGCCACTATTTACCAAATTATCGCAGCTAAACATGAATTTGTCACAATACGGTTCCCAAAAATTGCAAATTTTTTCTGTTTGATCTTTTTTTTCTGCTTCTTCTACAATTTTCAGAGTTTCTATATGACTTTTCAATGCACTGCATTTAATCGCAAGACTTTCTGTGATGATCTTACACGCAATATTCTGTGCTACACATCCAAGAACAAACTGTGTTTTCCTTTTTTTAACCCAATGATTGCATTGTTCCTTGACATTTTTTTTACAGATGGTTTCATTCTTTAAATCCTTTATCTTTCCTTCCAACAATCTCTCTTCTAATTGTCCTGCAATCTCCAGCCTATTGCAATGATGTTTTAACGTACGACAGGGCCACTTGACTTCTTTTGAATCTTGTTTTAGATCATCGCATTTCTTTAATAGTTCCTCGCAATCCCTCTTCGTAGGGAAATCACGTTTTTCATTCAAATCTTCTTGTAACAAATCTGTCTTTATATGCAAATCATCTAATAATATAAAAATTGCTTCTGTTGGTTGCACACACAATATAAATAACTCGTCACTCTCTCCTTTCAAATTCGCACATGTTTTTACTAACTCTTTTTGACGCTTTTTAAACAATAAGTCATTTGTATCATGTAACTTTCCTCTTAGCTTGTCTTGCAATGCTTGATTTGCTAATGCATAGAGCCCTCTTCTGTAGCACGCTGCCTTAATATTTTTACATTGTTTTCCGAAAGATTGTTGATTTTCGAAATAAAAACAGTCTGATTGTAATCTTGTGCAGTCATTTTCAGTAAGGAGACTTGGTAATTCATCCCATAATGTAATCTCATCTTTAAATTGTCTACTTTTAAATTTTGCAGTCAAAGCGAGCTTTATTTCTTCAAATTCTTTTTTAAATTCTTTACATTTATCTGTATAATTGTTTTTATCTTTACATAAATCTTTTAAATCTTTTGCTAGATATTGAATAGAATCACATTTATTAGTGAGCACTTCCTTGCATGGAGCTTCATCAAAAGGTTTGTTCCCTGACAATAACACTAATAGATCAATAATATCTCTTTCTAGTGCTCTTTGAATTACAACTCCTTGTGTTGCTGCTTCCTTATAAAGCTTTTCCAGACCTATTTTTTCTGCTAGCGTAGCCTCTGGTCTTGTAGGATCAAAATCTGAGTCTGGTGGTAAATAAATGATTTTTTCTTTCTTACATTCTTCCTTCAAATCACTACATTTATTATCTTTACAACTTGGACCATAAAAGTAGCATTTTTCAAGCAAAGAATGCCCTTCTTTTTTTAATTCCTTATCAGATTTTAGTACTCTTTCTATCTCTGTTTTCAGAGTGTTACATTTTTCTTTTGTTGCTTTTATCAGAGAAGTACATGCAGTGTTTGTATCAAAACATGTTTGCATTAACTCATCACTTTCTTCACCCAATGCACGACAAACATCTTTAATTTTCCCTTTACACTTATCTTCACTTTCAAGACTTCCTTTAAGTGCTCTTAAAAGAGCTTCTTTTGCTACTCCGTCACGCTTTTTCTTATAACATTTATTTCTTAAGTCACTACATTTTTCTTTAAGATCATCAGGGCATGCTCTCTCCAAAAATAGGCATTGTCGTTCGTTTTCTATGCATTCGTCGCTTGTATGAGATGCTTTTGGTGGAGCTTCTAACGTTGTTTTAAGTTTATTGCATTTATCTTTAATTTTATCTTTCATTTCTTTGCATTTTTCATCTTGTTTTCCAGTATTGCATAAATCTTTTAATTTACTATGTACTTGTTCATTATTTAAACCTGCTTCCACTAGTGCTTTGCAGTACTTTTCTAATTTTTTTTTGCATTCTTGAGAATTGTCATAATCTTTTTCTACAATTAACGCAAAAAGGTGAATCTCTTCCTCATCTTGCGTTCCCTGTGCTTGTGCCCGCCGCTTAACCGCCCGCGCCACCGCCCGCGCCAAGCTGTGCCTGACGGGGGTGGGCGCGCTGTGGTGTAGTTTGAGTTTGAGTTTCCACTAATGTGTTTTAGTTGCATGTGATATTAGAGTCATGTCTTCAAATTCGAATATTAAATTATTCTTAATTAATTTTAAGGGAGTTCAAGTAAATTCAGTGACGACTTGCCAGACAAGCACTGTGTGCAGAATATATCTTTAGTGTGTCCATACAATACTGTGATATGTGCTTGAGTATCGTAGTACTTAAATTTGTGTGGGGTAAATGTGGGGTAAATGCGAGATAAACGTAAAAATCAATCAGTGGCGATAAATGATAAAAAAACAGTATATACTGAAATAAAGGCTATTTAGACAAAGAATAGTGGCTAATTAGATAGGGAACACGTGATTTCATGTGTAATGCACTTTCAATTGATGCTGAAGAGATGACTCAATCTACTTTACTCTTTCCTGTCCTATCCTGCCTCCTTATCTGTTAAATATACATGCCCATTATTAAATCCTGCCCATTTGCTTTTTAAATCATAACTGAAATCATCATTGCTAGTAACACCCCCTTCATTATACTCCATCCATTCATTCTCAAACCTTCACTTGGCTTGACATCTTCTGGATCGTCTCCGGTGGTGCACTTCGTAGGCTTACACCGCCTCGTTGAGGTCAACGTTATTCTCGATGTGACCGTAGACGTAGTTGTGGATGTACTGGTATGCGTAGACGTGTGTGTAACCCACGTGTCTGTTGTGCTGAGAGATTTGCATTTCTCTCCATCTCCTACTGTTTTTTCTGCTTCTTTGACTGTTTCTGTAACCGTTGTTATGTTGGTTTCCGTTACTGTTTTTATTTCATGTGGCTTCACTTTTAGTGGTTCTAATTTTGAACATACTCCTTGTATCTTTTCACACACATCTTTTATTTCTTTGCAATCATCCTTAATCCCGCAATCTGAGGTCAATTTTTTGCATCTTTCCTTCAAGTCTACATATCTTCCAAATACATTTGCTGTTAGGTCAAATGCTTCGACCTCCAATTCTGTCACTGATACATCCTTAATTCCTCTCCGTAGTATTTTCACATGTTCGGTGGTATCTTGACGTTTGCTTGGTGTGGTTTTATTTTCGTTATTGTTTTCGCTATTATTTTTTGGTACATTACTTTCGTTTTTCTTAACGAGTGATAATACAAGATTGGACTTTTCCATTGCTTTCTTTGCCTCTTTTTTAAGTTCTTTATATGTTTTAACATCTTTTTCTAGACTTTTTTCCAGCACCGTTAATTCTACAGGTAATACTTTGCATTGCTGTTCCACTTCTTCCACTAATTTCTTACAAAGCTCTTCTACCATTTTGTCTTCAGCATTTTTATTGTTACCTTGAGTACTATCTTTGCATAAATTTTTGATAGATTCATTATTTAATTTTCCTAATTGTGTACAATATCCCTTCAATGCTGTAGTACATTTATTTTTTTTATTCAATTTTCCTCGAAGCTCTACTTTGAGAGCATCTTCCAAGGCCTTTCTTTCATAAAATGGTTCACAATGCTCCTTGATCTTTGCACAAGTATCTCCTTTAGTAAGATCTGGACAATTAGGTGAAAATCTATTGCAGTACGGATACCAGGAGGAACAATTTCTTTCCAGTCTTCTTATTTCATTTTTATTATTTTTAAGAAATTCAACGATCTCTGATGTTTGTATATTTTCCTTGAATACTTCACACCTATCTTGTACGTCTTTTACCATCAGCTCACACGTAGCGTTTTGAAAAACACATACAAAAGTGAAACGATCATCACCCCTTCTAGACCATTTATTACACTTCTCTTTTAAATATGTTACACAGTTTTCATGAGTTCTTAAAGTATCCTTGTGTTCATCCAATAAAACCTGCTTCAAAATTTCTGTAGTCCCTAAGCGGTCACACTGTTGCTTTAGCGTATGACATGGCCATTGAATCTGATTTGAATCCTTTCCTAAATCTTGGCATTTTCTCCCCAATTCTTTGCAGTCTTTGTTTGTTGGAAAATCTCGTTTTTGATCTAATTGTTGTCGTAAAAAGATAACCCTCATTTGATGGTCATGTGTAAGTAACCGTGCTGCCTTTGTAGGCTGTACACATAGAACAAATAATTCATCGTTTGAGAAACTTCCTTTATTTTCTTCTTTCAGTTTTTCACATACTTTTACTAATTCTTGTTGAAACTTCTTAAGCCATGTTTCATTTGAACCATGCAATAACCCACGCATATTTTCTTGCAGTACTTTATTTGCTCGTGCATCAAGTCCTCTTTTGTAACACGCTGCCCTCACATTCACACATGCTTTTTTACCATCTGGACATGCTTCTTTATAATAAAAGCAGTAAGATTCTAGTCTTGCACACTCTTCGTTACTAAGAAATGTTGGCAACCCTCCCCATCCAAGAATTCCATTATTTCCTTTTGTTGGGTCAAAAAGGCGACTATTAATGACTTTTGAAGTGAAAATTTTGCAAGTTTTGTCAATATCGTTTTGCAATTCTTCACATTTTTTCGTTCCATCATCACTTAGACCACTTCCCTTACACAAACTTTTTAAGGGTTCATGTTCTTGAAGGGTTTTACATTTCTTTTCAAGAGCTTTTTTGCATTTTTCTTTATTATCACTACCCGTTGCACTTGAGTCCTGAATCAACAATGCAAGCAAAGCAGTTGTCTCTCTTAGTGTAAATCTTCTAATAAGAACTCCGTCTTTTGCCGCTTTTTTATAGAAATCTTCTAGTTCTATATCCTCTGCTACTGTAGCCTCTGGTCTAGTTGGATCAAAATCGGGTCCTGGTGGTATATAAACAATATTTTGTTCTTGACATTTCTTTCCCAATTCATCGCACTTTAATTTGTCTCCTTTGCAATTCCTTCTGTAAAAATAACATTGCTCAAGCAATAAAAGGCATGTTTCCCTTTGTTTATCATTGTTTTTGATTGTTCCTTCAACTTCTTTTTCCAGAGTACTACACTTACTTTTTCCTTTTTTTACAAGATTTACGCATGTTTTCTTCTGATCAAGACATAACATTGTCAACTCATCACTTTCTTGGCCTATTTTCTGGCAAACATTTTTGATTTTCTTTTCGCATTCAGTTGTGTTTTCTAAATCCCCATGAAGTGCCCTCAAAAGGACTTCTTCTGCTACTTCGTCACGTTTTCTCTGGTAACATAGATTCCTTAGTTTGTTGCAATCCTCTATAAGAACACTAGGGCATGCCCCCTCCAAAAATAGGCATTGTCGTTCATGCTCCTTACAATCATAATTTTCTTCTAAAGCTTTTAATACTATAGGATTTAAGGTTGTTTTATGTGTTTGACATTTTCCTGTAATTTTAGTTTTTAGACTTGTGCATTTCTTGTCTTTATCTTCGCAGATATCTTTTAGTTTTGGATAGATTTTATTTAACTTTTTATCTACTTCTTCTAAGTTTTCACAATATTTTTTCAGTCTTTCTTTGCATTGTAATTCAACCATTGCGTCTTCTTTTAGAATCAAAGCCAAAAGATAATCCTCATCATCATATACACTTTTCACTACTTGCTGTGCCCTCCGCTTAACCGCCCGCGCCACCGCCCGCGCCAAGCTGTGCCTGACGGGGGTGGGTTTGCGCTGTGGTGTGTGGCTGAGTTTGGGTTTCCGTTAGCGTATTTTGATTGGACGTGAGATGTTAGAGCCATGTCTTCAAATTTGAGTATTAAATTATTCTTAATTTTAAGAGAGTTCAAGTAAACTTAGTGATAAAACTTGTCAGAGAAGCAGTGTGTACCAAATACATTTAAAGGTGCCCGCTTTCTTTAACGTGTAGTTGGCAACTTCGCGATATTTTAAATTTGTGTGGGGTAAAATGTGGGGTAAACGCGATATAAATATAAAACTTGAATAAATGAAAAATAGAATGTAAAAAACTTTAGACAATAAAAAAAGATTACTCAGCTAGAGAATAGGGGACAACTGGCTAGGGAACACGTGATTTCATGTGTAATGCACTTTCAATTGATGCTGAAGAGATGACTCAATCTACTTTACTCTTTCCTGTCCTACCCTGCTCGTTTATTTACTAAATATACATGCTCATCATTAAATCTTGCTCATTTGCTTTCTAAATCATGAACGAAATAACCATTGCTACTATCACCCCCCTCATCACATTCCACCCGCTCACCCTCAAGCCTTCACTTGGCTTCACGTCTTCTGCATCATCCCCTGTCGTACACTTGGTTGGTTTGCATCGCCTCGTTGATGTCAATGTTATTTTTGATGTGATGGTAGATGTGATGGTAGATGTGCTTGTGTGTGTCGATGTCTGTGTAACCCATGTATCTGTTGTCTGTAAGGATTTGCATTCCGTTGCCTTCGGATCGGCAACGGTTGTTGTTGTCGTCGTGGTCGTCGTTGTGCTTTCTGTGACTATTTCATGCGACTTCACCTCCAGAGGCTTCAGACCGCGACATATCTTCTCAATCTTTCCACACACATCTTTTAAATCTTTGCAATCCTCTTTAATCCCGCAATCCGAAGTTAATTTCTCACATCTTTCTTTCAAGTCTACATATCTTCCAAATACTTCTGCTGCTAGGTCAAATGCTTTGGCTTCCAATTCTGTCACTGTTACATCCTTAACTCCTCTCCGTAGTATTTTCACATGTTCTGTGGTATCTTGAAGTCCGTTTGAAACGGTATTCTTATCCTTGTTTTTGCTACTATTTTTCGATGTATTATTTTCATCTTTCTTAACGAATGATAAAACAAGATTGGATTTATTCATTGTTTTCTCTGCCTGTTTTTTAAGTTTTTCAAATGTTTCAAAATCATCTTTTAGGTCTTTTTCCTCATGCTCCAATTCTGCTGGTAATACTTTACATTGCTGTTCCACCTCTTCCACTAATTTTAGACAAAGCTTCTTTCTAACTTCATTATCGGTCTTTTTAGTTTTACTTTCGGTATTATCTTTACATAAACTGTTGATTGATGAATCACTTACATTTTTCAATATTGTGCAATATCTTTCTAATGCAGATTCACATTTATTTCTATTACTTAAATTCCCTTGAAGCTCTACTTTAAGAGCATCTTCTAAAACCTTCCTTTTGTAGAATGGTTCGCAATATTTTTTAAGATTTTGACAGAAAGTTTTTCCTTTCTTAAGATCAGGACAATTGGGTAAAAATCTATCGCAGTATGGGTGCCATGAGGGACAAATATTTGCTGCTGATTCTGTTTTTATTTGTTTATTTTTAAGAGAATTATTAATATCTGATGCTTGCATATTTTTTTCAAATACTTCACACCTGTCTTTCACATCATCTACTATCAGCTTACACGTAGCGTTTTGGAAAACACATACAAAAGAGAAACGATCATCACCCCTTCTAGACCATTTATGACATTTTCTCTTTAAATATTTCGTACAGTTTTCATGAGTTCTTAAAGTATCCTTGTGTTCATCTAGTAAAACCTGTTTCAAGATTTCTGTAGTCCCCAAGCGATCACACTGTTGTTTTAGCGTATGACATGGCCACTTAATCTGATTTGAATCCTTCCCTAAAGCTTCACACTTTCTTCCTAATTCCTTGCAATCTTTGTCTGTTGGAAAGTCTCGCTTTTGATCCAATTGTTTCCGCAAAAAGACTGCTCTTGTTTGGATATCAGCTGCAAGTATTCTGACTGCTTTAAGTGGATCAATACATAGTAAAAACAACTCATCGCTTGTTGTTTTAAGTTCCGAACATTCTTCCATTATTTTTTCTAGTAGTTTCTTAAACCATTCTTTGCCTGAACCATAGAACAGTCCGTACATCTTTTTCTGCAATGCTTCATTAGCTTGTGCTTCAAGCCCTCTCTTATAACATGCTGCCTTCAGATTATTACATTCTTTGTCAAGAGGTGCTTGACTTTTTAAATAAAAACAGTCTGACTCTAACCTTGTGCAGTCATTGTCACTAAGAAATGTCGTCAACTTATACCATGGAATGACTTCTCCGGATCCAGAGAGGTGTTTATTCTTTATTTTTTCAAAAAGAATTTTAGTACTGTTTGCTAACTCCTTCTCTAACTCTTTACACTTTTCAATTTCATTTTGACCAGCTACATTTTGATTACAAAAATCTCCCAAAATTTCATGACTTTTTAACTCTTTACAGTTATCTTTAAGAACTTTTTCGCATTCTTTACCCACTTGACTCTTAGGATCTAGATTTTGAATCAAAAGTGCCAGTAGAGCAGTTGCATCTCTTACAGGAGGCTTTCCAATATGAACACCTTCTTCTGCGGCCTTTTTATAAAGCTCTTCCAGTCCTATGTCTTCTGCTACAGTAGGCTTTGACTTAGTTGGATTGAAATCGGATCCCGGATGTGTATAAATAATCTTATTTTCTTCACATTTCACTGCCAATGTATCACACACTGGCAAATATTCATAACAGTCTTCGGATGATTTATTACATTTTGATATATCTTCACAATTCCCTCTATAAAAATAGCATCGTTCAAGCAGTGGTAAACATTTTCCTCGTAACTCATCTTTCTTCTCAAGTGCTGCGTTAACATCCTGTTTAAGAGCATTACATTTTTTTTGTTTTTCTAATACAAATGTTTTGCACGTCATTTTTTGATAAAGACAAAGCTTCGTTAACTCATCACTTTCTTGACTCAACTCTATGCAAACCTCTTTGAGCTTTCCTTCACATGTAGTTTCATTGATTAGACCTCCACGAACTGCTCTTAAAAGAGCTTCTTCCGCCACTTTATCACGCTTCTTTTGATAGCACTTATTTCTCAAAGTATTGCAATCATCTTTAAGTTCCGCTGGACATGCTCCCTCCAAAAATAGGCATTGTTGTTCATTCTCTTTGCAATCTTCATCCGTTAAATCTGAATTTTTTTTTTTGATTGCTTCTGTAAGTTTTCCTTTGATTGCAGTACATTTTTGAGTGAGTTTTTCTTTCAGTTCTTTGCATTTTGAATCTGCTTTTTTATTTTCACAAAACTCCTTAAGTTTTTTGTGAACTTTTTCTGGTTTTAATTCTGCATCCGTTAATGTCTTACAATATTTTTCTAATTCTTTTTTGCATTCATTATCATTATATTTTTTTCCTGCAATTAAAGCCAAAAGAATTTCTTCACCATCATATACACTAGCCCCTGATGCTTTTGCAGCCCGCCGCTTAACCGCCCGCGCCACCGCCCGCGCCAAAATCTAGAGGACATTAATGTGAGAGAAAGCGTGCTTGCTGGCAATGTGGGCAGACTTTTAAAGCTGTTTCTATTTTATATTGCCTTCATTAAGATGTTGAATATTGAAAGTTTTAAAGGTAGTTTTTTGAGAAAAAAGAGTAATCCTGTGCCATTTCTGTATTAATGACGATGTTTAAAGTGTCTTTTCAATTAATAATATGAGTATAATTTGGAAATACTTAAAAATTGAGGTTTGCATTTGAATTCGATACTGGAATCTTTAGGTCTGATTAATCTTCATGTTGTTGCACTAAATATTTATGCACTGTTTAATATTCATGTTGAACATTTTTTTATTGGATATTCCTAAAGTTCTTCTTGAGTCTCTCATATCTTTCTCTAGGGAATTCTCCTTCAGATCACTTTTTAGAATATCT